TTAGCATATGCGTATTCATATTGTGAGTTGTTGTATTTTGTGGATGCCATCTTTATGACAGTAAATGTGGTAATAAATAGACAAAGAAGAATTTTTCTGTTACTGAGTCCACAATAATTTGATTAGGAATCCACTTAATGATTTTAATGACACAATGCTACCCATATCCACAAGTTAATAATTCAGAGGCATCATGATATAGTGCTTAAGAACCTGGTCTTTGGAGCCAGTCTGTCTGAGTTTGAATCTGAGTTGCTCTTAGGCAAATTTCAATACCTCTCTGTGCCTCAGTTTTCATACCTATAAACTGGAGATAATAATTGTGAGGGTTAAATAAATTACCACATGTACATCACTTGTGTCAAGTACATAGCAAGTGTTCAATATATGTAATTTTTTTTATTACTAGGACAGCTCTACCCAGTTAGCAAGTGATAGGATACTCCCATTAAAACTGGCATTTTGAGCAGTGCTTCTTGGCACAGTTTTAGAAAAGCTGAAGGTCTAGTTATTCTATAACAGCAAACAATACCTTAAAGTTATTGATCCCACTTGGTGCAACCTAGTTATATGAACAGGCATTCTCTACATTAGAGTTACTTAAGTCAAAACAGAAAATATAGAGCCATATCTGTGGCAAAGTCATTCTACTCTTAAACTCAATGTTGGTGATTTAGTTTCAGCAAACAACAGTATATGTCACATTATATCAGTGGTTCTCAATTAAGGGCAATTTTGCCCCCCAAGGGAAATTTGGTAATGGCCAGAGATATTTTTGGATGCCACAACTCAGGGGGTATTACTGGCCTCTAGTGAGCAGAGGCCATGTATGCTGCTAAACATCCTACAATGCACAGGAGAGCCCTCCACAACAAAGAATTATCCTATCCAAAAGGTCAATAGTGCCAATGTTAATTTAAATTGATCAATTAGGTAGTTTTGCTTACTTTGTAAAAATATTTGGTTTTATAGCTGTTTACGAGAGCAATACGCTTGTGTTTATACTTNGGGCCCTGCTGCTCAGAGCTGGCACTCCCAAGCCAACTCTTAACCAACGCACCACTTGGTCAGCCCCCTACATTTTTTTTCTTTAGAGTTTTTTCTGCAGTTTTATAAAGGGAATTGTAGTTAACAGTTGACTAGAGGCCACAATGACCAGCCTCTCTGGCTATGTACTGATTTGGGTGGTCAGGCTCTGGTGGTAGTAGATACAGTAGCAGAATTCAGCAACAGATGTGGTAGGAAGCTTGGGCTCAGGGGTTATAAGGCACAGGGTAGCCAGAGGATGCTGCAAAGGATGCTAATAGTTCCTGGACATAAATGTTTACAGCTATACTAAGAATAGCATGGGTATAGGGTGAAACAGATCAGATCGGCTTACAATCAGTCAATTTTGTTTTGATCTTGTGTCAGTCCAGAGAAGTGAATGTCTTCATTTATCACAAAATTAAAGAGAAAATGAGTATGCTTTTTACTTTTCCAAAAAAAGAGGTACTACAGATATCTTTAGAATTGGGGCAAGTAGGAATTTACACATTACATAAGATGAAATCCACAGTCACACAACTATAGAGAACATATTTTTTTCTTTTAGGTGTTATAATATATACAAAAAATTAAAATTAAAGTCCTTTTCATATACATTAACATATATATATATATATACACAGGTTTCAATTTTGATAATTAAGTGTGCCCTCATTAATATGGTTTCATAGCAAACTGGCATTGATTAGATTTTAAATTCATATTTAGCTTATGTACTTTCTCTGCAATAAAATCAGTTTGAGTGAACCAGAATCCCTGTCCCATGAAAACATAAGGCATTATCTTCCAACTCCTTTGCCCCAAAGATTACCCCCAAAGGCCTGACAACCAATTTGTGTAACGGGACAGAGGGTATTGACTGCATTGTTTCAGAAAAGCATCCTTCCTCTTCCTTTCTAGGAGTCCCCATCTTTCTCCTCAACCAGAATAATTCTTTCAACTGGGAAACAGTCATCACTGAATCAGTCACACAATTAGTCTTTTTACTTACCACCGACAGAACTGCAGACAGTTAAAAATAAGAGAACTTGAAAATTTCTCTTAAAAAAATGTGAGTGCTTACTATGTACCAGGCATTTTGCATGTTTAGCCCTCACAACCCTATGAAATAGGTACTATCTA